CGCCCATTTTCCAAAAATGTATAATATTCTTATTTTTCGTCTAAAAATTATTATAAATATCAATTTTGAGTGAATAATCTCCAGTAGTTACTAAAATATCGCAGTTTTCGTATTTCTGGAAATTACCGTTATATGGGAAGTGGGCGTGGTTAAAGTCCGATTTCGCCCATTTTCAATACCAACCTACCTTGGATTAAGGGAAACCTACATACCAAATTTCGTTGAGATATCTCAATTTTTGCTCGAGTTATCGTGTACACGGACGGACGGACGGACGGACAGACGGACAGACAGACATGGCTTAATCGATTTCTTTTTTCATCCTGATCATTTATGTATACATTTGTCTATATCTATCTCGATTCGTTTTGGCTGTTACAAACAACCGTTATGTGAACAAAATTAATATACCCTTGTGCACAAGTGCGCTCGGGTATAAAAAAAAACTCCGTATAGGGAGGTATTTGTCCGAAATATTTTGGCGAAAGTCTTAAAATATAGATAATAAATTTTATAACGCTGATGCTGTTTTTTTTTTGTATGGAGAGGGGTGCACCCTAATGTCTATACATTTGTATGTATGTATGTATATGCAAGTGCATAGATAGTGTATAGTATATGCATTTGTGCTACTCACTTTGATAGTTTTCTTCGTTTAGCCAGAGGCTCGTCGTAGTCGAGGCGGCTGGAGACAAACGAACCAAGAGCTGAAGTGCTTTGCGCTAGGCCTGAAATTTGTAAAATTTTCCAATTTAATGTTAAAGTGGCTTAATGAGAAGATTAGGAAAAACTCATAAATGGGCCATTTCAGTTACACAGCAAGTAAGATATTCAGATATTCAGTAAATGAAATTCTAGGTTAGAACGCCTACGCTTTTTGAACGGAGGGGTTCTTTGTAAAAGTACAGCCATTGCAAAGTGCTTTTACTGGGGAATTAAAGGGTTAATAAAATATAAAAATGTTGGAAGAAGTGTAGCGTAAGAATCAGGAAATATATCGGTATTAAGGTGTCACCGGTATTAAAGTCCCGTATCTCCTAAAAAATATCTTCTTCTTCTTTCGATTTAAAAACAGTTTAAAACTAGCCGTATTTTAAAGAGAAAGAAAAGAGAGGCAGAAAGATCTGACTGCGAACAGCTGGGGAAACGCTGACAGGCGGAGATTATACCAAAAAAATGGGACTGAAGCCCTTGATTTGACTGAAGATCACATTTTCAAAGTGCATGAATTTCTGAACTGACCATCTGAAATAAACATTTCGAGCTTACGATGTTTTTAGCGAACTTCTAAATCCAAAAGTACATTTAAATCTTGACTAGAAAATTTAAGGATGAAGAAAAGCAAAAAAAAAATTAAAAATCGGTAATTTTTTCTCAAAATATTAAATTCAAAACTTACTTCCATTCGGAAGCTTTTTGTTGGGATAGGTTAAATATTTGGATAACGATAGGTACGGTGAGGTTGGGTGCCCCAAAACACATCCCAGGGTACACTTAACTACTAATTTTATAGCAAAAAAACCCTGGGTGAAAAGAATGATGTAGTTGTTGGTCCCACAGAACTCCACCCAGAGAGCTCAAGTGTTCAAACTGTAGTCTTGTAAAAACGTCGGCGTTCAACCAGCTGCGACCGTGATATGATCTGATACACCGCTGAATCACAATTTGACAGTGCCCTGTCAATACATCCACCAGAATTGAGAGAAGCTGATATGAGAGCCTAAGGATATCTCTTGACCGCCTCTGGTCGTCTCTTTGAGTGGTCCAGTTTTCGCCCAACGTACGCTGAACAGGCACGGGGACATGTTCTCAAAGGTACATAGACCTCTTTCTAGAGAAGACCAACTCGAGGGTGCTTTTGCTGGCCAGCTCATTCGCCTCGAAGTTGTCTGCGTTATCTATCACAGTGGTTTGGCATCCATATATGATTTGAAAGGAAATACGCAGACGCGATGAAAGTTAAGCCTGACTTTCCCAACTAGCTTTGAGAGCACCGTGAAGGCTTATTTCTTAACTATCAGACTATCCTTTACTAACGTCGCACAATTCAGCAGCAAATCGACTGCTCGCTTAATGACAGCTATCTCTGGATGGCAAAAACTATAGTGATATCGAAGACAAATTGCAAAGTGGAAAACTTGTCAGAATGTCCATATCATGAACCAGCAGAGTAACCGGTACCCCTAAATATTTATCATGTCAACTTGTGTGAGTGGTTCTAACTGTCCCACAGACAACAGAGACACCATCCGCTTCTAGACTAACATAGTCTGTTATAGAGAATTCCCCCACACTAGGACCCCATAAAATGTTTCTACGACAGCTTGCCATCCGGAATCAAGCCCAAGTACTTGACTATCAGAAAGAGCAAGGCGAATACCTGTAGATGAGAATAGTATTGCGTAGGGTATCTTACACTTCTTTGTGTACAGGACGGATTTTGTTTTATAGACTATTTAGCAACCAGGTAAAAGCATCCTTGGCTAAAATTTTAGACGATATCCAAGAGTTTGCCTATACTAAAAATGTAACGGCATCCGCATAAGCAAACACCCGGCAGCTCCTCTAGCAGGTTGTCTACGACCACAATACAAAGACGGAGTTATAATACACCACCCTATGGCGTGCCACTGTTTACCCTAGGCTGGATGGTGGCAGGCAATCATTTTAGTATACTCTACGATATTTTTTTTAAATTCGTTTCAGTTATATAGAAAGAAGTTCTTACCATGTTTACGTTTGTTGTCTCTTGCCAGTGTTCTTAACGCGCTTTCGTTTTGTTGCTGGTGCTGCTGCAACTGATTCTGCGGATGCCGTTTAATTGTACAACTCTTGCCACGACAGCCCTTCAGCTTTTCCAATACGTCATGCATATAAGATTTTTCCTCGCTGGTCAGCGATGAGGCGCGATTTTGTGTTTCAAAGGGATCTGTAAAGATAAAGAGTTTGGAGTTTAAAATAAAGATGCTCGCATTGATATATGTATTTTATGCCAGAATTTATGCTGCATTAGTAAGAATATATTACACTAAGTCCACGTAAGTAGTCCATGTTTAGTATCCCAGAGGCAGTAATATATAGTAAAGGAAAAATCAATCAGCAAAACAGTCGTTTTCACATTCGAAAATGCATTACAATGATCGATACATATAATAGGTTTTCCAACACAATCGATGGATATGTTCTATGCACCCGTGTATTGATTGTCTGTATGGGCCAGCCCTGTTTTCTTGGCCAAATTTGGTTGTTTCTGCTTCAAATCAATATCGAAACCGTTCAAACACTTCGAATAATATTGTGATCGCTTTGCCTTTTTCAATGCAGACCATGTGAACGACACAGCGTGCATCCGAAAAAATTGTGGCCATGACCTTATGGGCTGTCGGTCCCACTTGGGCCTTCTTTTTTACACTTTCTTGAGTGTTCCTTGGTCTCTGGTGTATTGTGGAGGACCCATGTTCGTCTGCGGTTACGAAATGGCGTATAATTTCAACTCCTTTGAAGTTTCCACACAGCTACGCTTAGGTTCGAGAGTGAGCAAGCATATAGCTTTTTAATGTTGGGGAATAAATCACTGCGGACAAAAGATCCCCTTCATGGATGTATAGTGTATCTATTAACCCAGTATCCGAGAGAACCCAAACTCGACTGGTCAGACCAAGAGTATTCAGCTTATCAAGGCACTTCATCACCAGTTTAGATGTTAAATACCTGATGAGTTCTGAGGGCCTTGATAGCCTCAGCCACCTCACGCCTTTTCATTCTCTAATCGTCCAATATAATTTCATGGATTTTGTCAACGATTTCTGGCGTGACGATCTCTTTTGGGCGATCTGGACGTTCGGAGTCACTTGTGTTGGACGACCGCACAGTGGTTCAAACTGGCATTTACTGTTCATAATTCACTGAAGCTTGCATTTTTCCCTCAGTGTTATTATTACGTTTTAAATGAAAGCTTATACAATTTGCAATAGTCTAGTTCTGCCTTATTTTTGCATTTTTATTTGATAACAATAAATTTTTTTGTGCAATATGCAGAAAAAGTAGATAGCAATTTTGAAAAAAATCGATTCTCCTTTTCCCGTTAATAAATATATCATAACAAAGACTAGTGCAAAACAATTGTAGAGTTCCCATAAAACCAAGAAAATTTTCACACAAAAAAAAGCCTGAAATGTTATAAAAAAATTTCATCAAAATGATTTTTTTTTTGGTAGGAAGTTTTTGGTAGGAAGTTCTATAGATCGTTAGAGTAATAAAGTGCAAGTTGCAAGTGTATAAGGAGAATTGAGTTTTTTCTAACTTGTTGCTTTTTCTGGACTTTTTACAAAAAAATTTAATGGAAATTATAAATAAAAAAAAATAATAAATCGGGTTCAAATCGTCTCTTAAAAATTTTATAAGCTTTTATTTAAAAATAATAATCAAATTGGCTGAAAAATGTGGGCTCCAGTGAATTATGAACAGTAAACATTGTTTTGAACCACTGTGGTCTGCAACGGAACTCAGTAAAGCACTTTTTAATCATTTAAATATATCTTACAGAATCCCCACAGTATTTGTCAATACTCACCGATTTTCAAATTATAGAACGTTATCAAACCAGTGGTGAATTCACAGTACAAATAATTATGTGTTGCATTTATGGTGCGAACACATGAGTAGGTATTGTTGTTGGCATTCATGCAGAAACAGAACGGACTATCGTTCCAAAGTGGCGCCGTACGCCAATGTGTATTATCGTGCGAAAAACAGTTCATCTTCTCCGAAAGGCATTCCTTCTCTAGACGTGCCTTCTTGATGCGTTTCCGTTCCTTTTTCCGCTGGCGCTCCTCCTTTAGTTTGCGACGTGCCTCACGTGCTATCTCCTTTGAATCAGCATAACTAAAATTGAGAATCGAATTAAATAAAGAAAAGTGAATAACACAAAGAAATTGACATATAACGGCATTAAGTGTCGCCGCACCTCTCTGTATCCGGTTCACAGTAGCACTCAGCTGGTTGACCCTTTTGCTGTTCAAATGGGTCAGCGTTGTGCGTATTGCCCACGCCTGTGAAAACTTCCTTCTGGCCTTGATTGCTGAGCACATCGGCTTCACGTGGATCCTTTGTAGTTACTACAAATGTAATAGAAAAAAAAAATAGTCAATGCATGTAGAGCAATGCCAAAGAAGCTGGCAAGCCAAGTTGATTGTGGCACATGTGTCACAAACTCACTACTCTCACTGCTGCTGGGCGCAGTACTAATGTTTGTTGGTGCATGTGTTGTCGACCATAGCGTACGTGTTTTTGTTGTTGTTGTCGTGCTAGCTGCTGTTCCTGTCTCCTCAGTTACGGTAGCGGTTGTAGCAGGTTTAGCTGCCGTAGCATCCGCAAAGGACTCTTCATCTTTGGTTGTGGTTGTTCGTGCAGTTGTTGTGGTTGTCGTCGTCATTGCCCTCACTCCACCCATTAGCCTCACTGTTGTTGGACGCGCTATGGACGGTGATGTAGTTTGCGTTGTAGTGAATACCTGTGCGGCAGTTGCATTTGTCACTTGTGGCCGTCGTCTCCTTTGCAATTGTGACTGTCCGCCGCTCAAACTGCCATTGTGGCCCTGCATGCGACCTTTACCGTACGTGCTTTTAGCACCATAACTACCCGCAGCCGCAGCCGCAGCCGCAGCCGCCCCTGAGCCTGAGCCCGCACCACTGCCATTTTCATTGTTAATCTCATTACTGTACGTGGTTGTCACGCCAAAGCCGAAATGTCCTTGTGTGAAGTAGTTCATATCGAATTCGCGTCCACCCAGCGTCTTGTCGTAGCGTCGACGTCCACCTCCTCCCGCGCCGCCAGCCAAATGCTGCCCCCGGTATTGCTGATGATTGTAGTTATGATGATGGTAACCGCCACGCTGATAGAAATTGTTATTATTTAGGCCACCACCGCCATTACGTCGACGCCCCTTTTGTCTGCGCCCCAAATAATCCGATACATTGTATGGCAGCTCATCGCCAGTTGCTTGCACCGCCGCCTTATTTCTGCTCACACCAGCACCGGCACCATTGCGTGGCACATAGTCCCTATCCCAATAACGTCCGGAGTGATAATGCAATTGCTGCTGTTGCTGTTGTTGGCTCAGCTGTTGTTGTTTATTCTCGCGCATTTGCTTCTTGATATCCTTCAAGTGCGTTATTTTATCCTTGAGCACTTTGATTAGCATATCAATTTGATTGCGCGACTTACGCCATGTCTTTTCATCATCGTAAATGACATCAGAGCAGTTCACCTTGCCGGTTTGCGATTCAATGTAACAGCGTGTGCCCACACGTCCACCCACTTTGGGAAATTTGCCACCTCGCACGAAGCCAGCTGCCGACAAGGTAGTCGTATTATTAGGTTGATGCAAATCATTTGGAGCAATAAATTTCAATTCGAGAGTTTCAAGTGTGCTTTGGATTTCTTGTATGACCTTGGAAATGGAATCATTGGCTGAGTTGGTGCCCGATTTGAAGCTGTTTTCGGCATTGGCATCATTGGTGGTAGGTGTTTCGAAGAAGCTGGAGGTTAGTTCACGTTTGGTACGTTTCGGTTGAGTCAACTGTTCTTCAACCATGGAGAGCGTATCTTGTAGATCAAGCAGTTCTTCCATCTCGTACGGCAGCTCCGTATGGAAAATTTCAGAGTAGTCGTGCGAAGAGCGTTTATCGCGTCGAGAAAAGAGTGATGGATTCTGAGTTCTGGAGGGAAAGAGTGAAATAAAAGAGAATGAAAAGTCAATGGAAATAATTGTTCGAAGATATTTTAAAGCGAAATAAATTACTCCTATAAATAAGTAACTGATAGGCGCTAACTGCCATTATCGAGTGAATGATATAAACTAAAATTTTTTGAGTTCGCGAGTTAATAAATTATCTTATTCTTGTACAAATCATCTGATATTTGGTTTAATGCTGGGATACTGCTCACCGGGAAGACAATTAATGGTCGATCTGCTCGTTGTGTCTACTTACATAGCTTTGTCTAGAATCAGCTAATCTTTCAATCGTTGTCACCGAGCTCAACTGAAGTTAGACCGAATAGAATAGAAAGGAGAGAGGTCGGATTTAAACCGCATGTGCTAGGGAAAATTCGCTTGCGAAACATATCTTGGGTACGTCATGGTCGAGTTTAGTGGGACAGCTGAAGCTCTTTCTTTATATTAGGTGACGGTTGAACTCCGATGATGATATGCATGGGACGAGGGTTAATGGAGGTGATGATGGTCACTGTGTGAACACCGTTAATGCCTATCTGCGCGGCGTCGGGTCCAGTAGTAGTCATATGTAGTCCTGGTTCTCGATATATTAAAACTAAACAGAAGCATAATTTTTCTCTGGGCTTTGATGGGTTATCTGAAAATATTAGTGACCATTGCCAACCTCAGAAGATTTGGACTGTTTTGGGACGATAACACTCCCATTTGTAGACAGTTTTTCCTGATTTTAGCAGTGTGACCACTGTACCTGATTTGCACAAATTTGGAGAGTGGTCATCAACAGATCGGGAACTTTTTTAAGGTAGTGAGGTAGTCTATTCCTGTCTAACCCATTTTTGCCTTAGGCTTCGGCCTCGAGGTTTGCCAATGGCAAAAGTCAGAAAGCACTGGATTTTGGCAGTTTGTGCAGTCTTCTGATATGGCATGAATTTTTGGCTATACTAGCTCACGATTCGCTTCGGATCCCATGATACGCGATGGCCGAATAAAATCTCCACTTTGTCATCGTCCTTACTCGGGTTGAACAGCGACCATACGCTTAACCAAAAACTTATCCAATTTTCTTCAAATGTGTTGGTTTTCCAATTGTCTATTCTTTAGTTTTAGATGCTTAATTTGGGGATCCCCGGTATCTCAGCAAAGATGGTAACGCCCATTCGCTATTACAGCCAGTTCAGCCAGGAAATTTGGGCGGGTTTTCGCTGGTCGTCCGGACAAAATGAAACGGGCTGCTCAACAATGACTAAATTGAGCAATTGGCGTTCGCCAAAGTAAACATCTGTTGATGTGGGAAAAGAAAAGAGGATGCTCGATTGCTTCATAGTCAGATTTTTTGAATTTGATAAAAGTTTGTAGGTGCGGTGATCCACGAGAGCCAAGTTTGATCTGATGCTAATGCCGCTTTATGCTATATATAAGAACTGTGCCAGCTTTTATAATCAGGTGAGTTGCTACAACTACCCATACTTCTTGTGGTGGCGTCAACATTCATAGGACCCAGCGTTCGATGCCACGTGCCGGCATCACGGAGCAGACGTTGTAAGCAACCAAGAGCGAATTGGGGCGGGACTAAGGTGGAGGGGGAGAAGAACCGATGACGGTGGAGGGTCAATTCACTCTGCGATCAATGTAAGTAACTCAATTTTTCACAATCCCCTTCTATGTGTAAATATGTTTTATGTAGAGGCCACTCACCTCTTTCGAATGCGATCTCCATCGAAGTAACTACGGCTTGTTTTGATTTTCGTATAGACAACACCATCTGGTGTGAAGCACGCGCAGTTACGTTTCGTTTCCTTTTTCGTAAATTTCGATATCTCCTCGAGATGATGTTGCAGCTGTAACTAAATTTAGATAAATCAGTTCAGGGATGATAAGATAACACAAAACTACAAAAATCGAGCCAACTATGGTACTAAATATTTCCAATAGCTTTAAAATAATCTGAAATAATTCAACCAAATAAAATCGAAATCGACTCACATGGAATTTGCATTTGTGCTTACGCCAACGACCATCTTCGTTAACGCACTTCCACTTTTGTCCATGTCGGCAATTTTCCAGCAAGGATGGATCAGAACATTCTGAATTCAAACGCATCATTTTCGTCATATACGGCGCCATTGGCAGGTTGTTGTCGAATTGATCCTGCTGTTCTTGATCTAAACCCTCTTCTTGTGCTGCATCCGCATCCAAGTCATCTTCAATATCTTCATCTAAAACACCAGAAGACACATCATCCTCTATATCGGTGTCGGTGTCGAGATCGTCCTCAGCATCGTCCTCTATTTCTGTCTCAATTTGCGCTACTGTAATGAAGTACATAAGGATAAGTTACACATATGTATGTTTGTACATTAGGGTGGTCTAAAAATTCATGAGAAAAAAGTATAGTCGGAATTTTAATCCTCTCACTCCCTAGGATTGTTCTATATCGAAAAAAATGCCCTTCGTTTTTTAAATCAAAAAATATTTAGTGGTCACTCAAAGTTCGCATGTTTTTTATATGAAAAAAAATGAAATTTTCATAGACTTTGTTTCTCTTCACGAGACTTCATTGCATTTTTTTGGGGGTTTTGGGGGGACCAATAAAAAATGATTTATACAAAAAAGTTTTTAATAAACTATTGGGTATTATCCTTTGAAGTCTCATGAGAAGAAACAGAGTTTGCCGATTGGAAAATGTTAATTTTAAAGAATTCTATACTATCTATACCTATACATGTTTTTCTCGAAATAGTTTTTGATTTTAGAAAAAAAAACAGTGGTATATTCTTTCGATATTAAAGGATTTAAATTCCGACATTACTTTGATTGGATACCCCTAATGTACATATACTTTATTTATTTTATCATTTTTGCACCGACCTCTTTCGGATTCCGAGCCCGCACCCTCTTCGAATTCGGCCTCTTCTCGCGATTCCAAATCGATCACGTCTACTGTTGAGCCAGTAGCTGTGGTCTCATTAAACGTGAAGCCATCAATAAAAGTGCTATTAGCAAGCCTCATATTCAGGCGATCCGCCTGTAGACGTGCACGTGACTCGGCAATTTGTTCAGGTGTCTCGCGTCGTCCAGAGCTCTCTATTAAAAACGTATCTGGCCACTGATCACGCACATTACGTTGACGACTGAATAGTAACGGCAAAATGCTGCGTCCGTCCATATGTTGCGGCGTTGTGACACCACCAATGTCCAGAAAAGTGGGCGCCAGATCGACATTCAAGACGATCTCGTCGACCCTAAAACGAAACCCGTCTTTGAGAATTCTTACCAACAGGATATTAGAACTAGAAGCTTACACCCTTGCCGGTTGTATGCCTGGTCCACGTATCAAGAAAGGCACACGCACATCAAACTCAAATGGAAAACTTTTTCCTTTTATCAAACCGAACTGACCCAAGTGATAGCCGTGATCGGAGGTATAGATGATGTAAGTGTTATCTAGTTCACCCAACGCTCTAAGCTCGCTGCATACACGCTCCACAGCGACATCTACACTCTGCAACGTTTGCAGTCGTTTTGTCATCAATAAGTTCGTGAAACGTTTGTGCACTGGTTCCATCGGCGGTGTGACGCGCAGTATCCATTGCTTATCCGGATTAGGTGCGTGATCGTAAGAAGGTGTGCTTTTAGGAGATCACAGAAACACATATGCAAATTATGTCCGCAAACATAAATATGTATGTATGTATAGAAAATGGTGGCTTTATGAACTTACTGATGTGTTGTCACATTGAAGAAGAGATGACTATATTGTGGCGCTGAGTCTTCAGGTCCATGTGGCGCTGGAAAACTCATTGTTAACATCACAGGTTTTCTTTGGTTTTGCTGTTTTGATGAACGTAGAAACGCTATGGAATCGTTCGCTATTAGGTCCGGATAGAAATCCTGTAAGAACGGGAAACATAAACTTGTGGAGATAAAGACAACAACTACTAAACGAAATTAAGGACATCGGTTAAATGGGCTCCTCAAGAAGAGTAAGAAAAAATAATAGTACCACACATGGTTTCAGACAGAGTCACTCTTTATAAAGCTGAGATAGATAACTTGAGCTATGGCACTTATTTTTATAGGACCTCAGTTACATTGTTTGTTATTTGGTTGGCTTTGTATTTTTATTTGATAGAACTTTTTCGCTTATGTCTTTTCAGCACACTCAACGGCATTTCGCCTCCATGATCGTCCGTCCTATTGTGTCTTTTCCATCCGTAGTATGTTGGAAGAAGACACTGCAAAAAAACTGGCATAGTACGTCTCAACAAGCAGCGAAGATTGGCATGTTTTCTGCCACTGGATCAATAATAACTTGCTCAACTTACTAAGAAGTTTCGGGGTTGAAAATATGAGGAATTTCTGACTCCCATATCGCGAAGACTAGGCAAACGGACTTCCTGCCCTTGACTCCAAACATGTTTGAATATTGGTACACAAACGCTTTAAGGATGTAGGACATAGCAGGTGCAGGTATCTATGAGCCCCGAAGAAATTTTGTTATTCTCATAGGCAGATGGCCTATGTTGTTGCAGGCTGAAGTATTAGCCATCTTAACCTGCATCACATTAAACCTTTAAGGACCTCCCACTGCCTGTTAAATTTGTCTTTCCTTTAAAGATATCGCCTGCTTTATTGATCACATACATGCATGGCTAGAGATGCCTCCTACCACTCCGTAGGTCATGGGTTCGATCCAGGGCGACCCAGACCAGGGGGTAATATCCAACGTTTCTTCTGACACCATGGGCCCACGACAGGCAGTAGTATTTGATACTTCGAGTGTTTTTCAGCCATGAAAAAGCTTCTCTTAAAATCCCTTTGGCGTTCGCAAGCGGTAGGTCCCTTCATTTACATAAAAACATTAAGACGCAAGCCACAAATTGAAGGAGAAGCCAGGCCAAACACTTAGCACAAGCGAAGGAATCTTAACTGCCTTTTTAGGATAGAAACTATTTGTTGGTACACTCTGCACGCAGTAAGTACTGGGGACGGTGTAGGGTCACAAACAGGTCAGGATCTTCGGCTATCCTTTTAATATCCTCTCTGGATACCTAATTGGTTACATCCACCAGTGACTTTATATGCACCGAATAGATGTTACCGAAGAGTTAGAATGCGGACTTTTCCTTGAGGACTATGAAACTTCCGAAGACATTCTTTGTGACTTTCCGGCCTTGGCTAGTCAAAAATTCATTTAAAGATCTAAATTTCGAACACTTTGTAATAAAGAATTCGTCCACCAAGGTACTTTTAGGATTCATTAATTGGAGTTGGAAGATTTTAGTCTTCATTATTCTTTGAGAGAATACGTGAGAAGATGGGTCCGATTAGTGGGGATGTAGTTAGCTAGTTACTTAAATGCATGAATATATCAGAACAAGATACATCACAACCTGAAATATCATTTTTAGCTCGAAAGAAAGTCCATAAACCAATATGCCAAAGATACCTTCGTCTTTATATTCACACCTATATATGTATATATAGATTGGCGCTTACACATATGTTAGTGATTGGCCGAGCTTCTCCTCCGATTTGTGGCGTGCGCCTTGATGTTGTCACACAAAGAGGAGGGACCTACAGTTTTACGCCGACTCCGAGCGGGGATCTTTCATGGCAGAAATAACCTCGGAGGTTTGCCATTGCCTGCGGAGGGGCGACCGCTGTTAAGAAAAAACCAAATAAATTATTTTGCGACGTTGCTTTGACCAGGGCTTGAACCCAGGCGCTGCGGAGTGGAAGCGCGCACTGCTTACCACTACACCACAGCGGCTACACCTATTCACAGATTATTTGATGGTATGCGGTACGATTGGTTGAAGAGTTTTCTGTCGAAAACCCGACGATTAATTTGAAATTTTGCATGGAGCTGGATTTTCGGAATAGACCGCAGTAGCAAGACAAAAATATCTAAAATAGTTAGGGAAGAGTAGGAAGCTTTTTCGAACAGAGAGAGTTTCACAGATCCGTTAGCTAAATGAAAGGACAGCTGAGCTGACTGAGGTTCAACCCCAGCGTAAAAGGGCGCGCAACTAATAAAGGCTTACGTACTACGGCATGATCCTTGGGCCTCGAAAACTATATATCTAAGAATATGTCAGATCAATATCTATTGCTATATGCACCAAGTGATGTAGTCTTATCAGAGTTAAATTCCAGAAGGAAATTTAAAGTCAATGCTCTAGAAAGCAATGAGTCAATCCAATTCTTCACGGATACATTCCAAACCGAAACGGAACTGGTGTTGGATGGAATTGGGTACTATGCCAACGGGTTTTCCAAGCACCTTTTTCTGTCAGTGCATTGGACTATGAACATAGAGGTGACTGGATTCAGGTCTATAGTGACATCGATACCGCCTTTGGAGAAATCTTCTTACTACCTGAAAATTTGTAGGTACAAGGACAATATGCTCTGCCTGAGAACTCACTCAATGTGACCAGAGCCTATTATCAGTCCAAGTTTTGTAGGAATCGTTGGGTTAATAATGGAAAGGGATCGTTGGCGAAGCTTTAACACCTGCAAAACAAAATCCGAAGAGGATGCATACGGTATTTCCTTTAAATCTGAAAGGGAATGGCTAAGATCGTTATTTGGAGTTACCATGGGTCAAAATCCATAGCCAACATTTAGTTCCATTGGTATTATTGCCAGCCCAGTATATGTATGTATGTCACTTGCCTGGAGAAGAATACAAATTTAGACCTCTTTTTATGCTTTTTCCAGCTTTTAATATTTCAGCTCAACTCTCAACAGATTTCTCATAGGCAAGGAAGTTTGAAGAAGAGCTAATCTTATAACACCCTCCTCTTTCCTCTTCTAAGGATCTAAGGTTTTAATAACCATAATTGATTTTCAGCTTCGCGATTTCTCGGCCTACTCAGATCCAATCCAATACAGTGCGTATATTAATATGTTCAACGTATTGTGAATATTCAACTGCAGCCGACTCTGTGTGTAATAACTTATGTAAATCCAACTACTACACACGCACGTACCTTCGCATAATCGAAACCATGCTTGATCTTCTGCCCATTCATGTTAATGCTGTAATTGTAGTATTTCGAATTCATAATTAGACCACCCCATTCTCGCCAACCCGGCGGTATATACGACCCATTGTACTTGTTCAGGTACTTGCCAAAGTAACCTGTGCGATATCCAGCATTCGAAAGATATGTAGCAAAGGAGCGCGTCTCGTGCGTGGCCTGCCACTGTGGACTCGAACAGTTGTCGTTGTTGGTGAAGACCTGGTGATTGTGTACGTACATGCCGGTCAGCAGTGAGGAGCGCGCCGGGCAGCACATGGGCGTAGTCGTGTAGGCGTGACGAAATTCGGCGCCGCCATCGCGCAACCAACGCAGAGTGCGCGGCATAAAATTCAACGATCCCAGCTCGACATCCTGGTCATCGGTGAGTATAAGAATAATGTTGGGCTTGCGTTCACGTGCTGGAAATGCCGCCGAGTCACGTGAGTAGCGTTTATAAAATGCAGATGAAGACGGCGACGACGGTGCTTGCGCGTGGGATGAAGAAGACGCCGATGATGAAGGATGACTGCTGCTGTCGCTGAGATAGCTGGCGGCATAGCCACCAATGGAAGGATTGTGTGTGTGGCCGCGATGTTGGCGATGCTGTCGCGTGTGTTGTTGTTGCTGCTGCTGATGATGTTGGTGTTGGTGTTGGTGTTGCACATGTTCGTGGTGTGTGCGTTGTTGATTTGCTCTGTGCGACACCTCGCCCACCTCCTTCTCACGCTTTTCGCGGTCATGCAACGCATGCCGACGGTGATGCTGCTGCCGTCGCTGCTGCTGTTGGTGATGATGATTTTGATGTTGATGTTTCTTGTGTTGTTGTCTATGACGCTCTGGCTGTGTATGTTCTTCTCGCAAATCTTCATTTGCATATATACTAGGTATATTTTCTTTGGCCGCTGCTGTCGTCAGCAACAAATTGAGCATAAATATCAGGGATATGCAGGCAATGAGTGCAATTTGTTCCTTTCGCTTCGACTGCATTTTGCTGTTGCTGTTCCTGTTGGTTTCTTGCGATTGTCGACCCAAGTCTATTTTTCCTCTACAACTATCACAGTTTTATTCGCTGATATTTGGAGTGGTTTCAAATTGGTGTAATTTGAAAATACTTGTTCGGGGCTCTTGGTGCTACGTCATGCTGATAGTTTTATGGAGAATTTATCGGCTCGTGTGGGTAATAATATTTGTATTTTCATGTATATTTGCAGCACGTTGCGAGGCCATTTGAACTGAAAGTGAAATGGAAATTATATTAGGTTTATTATAAACAGCCATAATTATTGGTTTTAATGCAATTAAAATTTGCCTAATAAAGTTCTAGTTAAGTTATGTGTTTTCTTGCAAAAAAGTGTAGTTAAGTAGTTCTTAGGAGGGAAAAATATCTACTCATATTTCATACGCCATGGTACACCGAAAAATTGAGAAACAGAGACTTTGATTATTGAGACTATTGACTATTGACTTTGTTTATTTTGTTAAGGCAAAAAACCGATAGAATTTTTGGGTTTTGAAGTGAAAATTTTTAATTGAGTTCGGAGATGTTTGCGTTAAATACCAAACACCAGGTAATCAGATCTGTATCGTTCGTTGTATTTTCAAAAAATGAGGTGACAAATTAAAGGGCCTGTCTTATCGATGTACAATATAATTTTAGTCTTATGAAAACAACTTGTCAAAAATAGAATAAAGGTTAAGATAAAGAGTGAAGTTTGGATTAAAACAAACACAAAGAAATAAGCGAAGACAAAAACCGAAGTAGAATACAAAAACAATGATGAAGAGGAAGAGAAAGACAAAGAGAGCGAAAAATAGGGATAGGGACAAAGACCAAGTCAAAGTTAAAAATAAAGATCGAGGAACAGGTAAATATGAAGATAAAGGCACACATTAAAATAAAGAAAAAAAGGATGAGATAAAGACAAAACCTTAACTCACCTCACATTATCTTACATCGACTTACTACACCTCATCTTATCTCACCATAACTCATCTCAATTCACCACCACGCGCTTGAAATTATCTCAACGTATTCCACATCTCCTTAACTCACCTCACCTTGACTCACCGTATCTAACCTCAACTGAGTTCACCTTACCTCACTTCTCGTCAACTCAACTCACCTGAACAGGGCAATTCTGGCAACTCTCTTTCAACTCATCACTATCTTTCGAAAGACAAAAGTCTTTCGTAAAACAATTGTCAACTCTGGCAACTATCCTGATTAATTAATAAGGAGGTCTTAGCGTTAAACTGTTAACCTTTGTGCAATACGTTTTTTAAAGTTAAATCAAATTAAAAAAACATATATTTTTTTCTACACAATTAAAAATTGAAAAAATAATATTAAGTGGAAATAAACCAAAAAATAATTTAAAATGTTGTTAAAGATTTAATGTAACAAAAAATATTTTTTTTAAACTCTAAAATCTAAATAAATCTAGTAATTTGAAAAATACAAAAAAAATAAAGTGAAACATTAATAAAAAAAAAGATCCTTAAAAAGATTTAAAAAAAAAATTAAAAGAAAATTAAATTAACAACAGAAAAATCAATTAAAGAAAAAAAAAATATAAAGTAATATACTAAAATTTAAATGAAACTAAAGAAACATGTTTCTTTTTTAAACAATAAAATCTAAAATATAAAAGCTGTTTTTAAGCAAAAACGGAACCGAATTCAATCTTCATATACAAATTTACAATACCGTTAATTTCTTCATGATCCAATAATCGCATCTAAACCAAATTAGTATGCGACCACCTCGGAGACACTGCCTTTCCGATAGAGAAAGAATTATTGTAATCAGTGGTCCAAAGTTATGCGGTAACATACATAAAAAAATATTCCGACGAAATGACAACCTTCTCCTGTTTTGAAGTCGGTTAAAAAGATAAAAATTTATTTTAAAAAAGAAAAATATAAAATAATTACTTAAATTTAATTGAAATTAAAAAATATGTCTTTATTTTAAAGAATAATATCTAAACATTAAAATAAAATTAAATTAGGAAAGAAAAAGTAAAAAAAAAAAAATCATAAAATAAGTTTCTCAAAACTAAAAAGTAAATGACCTAGGGCTCGAAATCGGATCTCTCGATTAGCACCCCTGTGGCTTGCTTACTCGGCAATTGCGACTGCTGGAGCGACGCAAACTTTCCACCTCGAGTGGTGAATGAGAGAACTTTATCCTAAGACTTTTGTGCTGGAATATCAAAAGTCTTTCGAACTGTTTTGCCATCTGTCTTTCATTTGTCTTACGAAAGACTTTTTACTATCTTAGCAAGAACTGCCTTGTAACTCATCTCAACAAACTTTAACTAACCTCAACCAATCTCACCTCACTTATCTCACCTCATCCCAACTCAACTTAGAGCCATTCAACTCAATTGAGCGAGACATGTTTTAGTATTAAGTAGCCTCTTAAAATATCCTATACTCAATAGTAAATATTATCAAAACATACTTCAAAATCATTCTTGACAGTAACGAACGTATTGATTTCGAAGTTACGCACATTCAGGCTAATTTTATCATAAGGAGGTAAACATGAAACGAAGAAAGACAGCTGAAAAATTAGAATCTATTTTCCACATTTCAATTTAGAAATTTTTCTCCATTTAGCCTTAAATTGTTCAAAATCCACAACGTCTAGTAATTCTTGATGTTATTTAACCTTAATGAAGCGTTTCATACAAAATGTTAACTTATGCCATAAATTATGTTTTGTTCACAACCAAAAACCAAACACGTCCAGCGAAGTGAAGTGCCAGCACGTACAAACTATCAAAAACTCAATAAACTGTAAAAGCCTAAATTTGTATTCACGAAGATTTGTAAAGATTTTAAGATAGTCTAAGCGTGTGGCTCAGCAGAAACGTGTCTGCACAATAAGAGTATCTAATAAATGTGAGTAGATGTGAAGCTTTTAGTACTCAATCAAAGGCACCACTGTGACCCCTTTCATGCATCACTGGCCCATTTAAAATCACTGAATCGATTTCGAAATAAAATCAAATCACTGTCAATTGCTTTTGGCACTTGGGTCGAACTAATAAAACCCAAATCCCAAAATTGCAAATATTTTCGCTTACCCTAAATATTTAGCCAACACTCACCACTGCTATTACCCATTTCACTTTCACATCAAATGCTCTAAATATTACATGAATTCTGTGTCAAACCATTCATTCACTGCTTCTTTATTACGAATACCATTTAGTGGTTGGCATGTGACCTTGACGTACACGCCTCCTCGCTCGAAAGGAATGCTGTTCATTAAATTTTTTCACTTTGGCTAGCATGCGAGCTCAATAAAGCCAAAGCCAGAATACAATAGGATGAAAGTAAAATGTTACCCAACGTTGTCGTTTGCCACTTCATTTAAGTAAGAAATTATGTGTCGGCATTAAAGGATGTGTGTACGTGTGCTTTAAAGGATGTATGTACATATATGTATGTGTGCAAGTTCGCATAATAAATTTCATTTCATTTCGGTTTACTACCAACTTTTCTTTTCATTACATAACTTTCGCTTGTGTGCCAATGCATAGTGAGGAAACGCTTTTAACGAGTGTCCTCCCTCATTGCCGTTTCCTGCCCGGCGCTTTGCAAGTGGTTGGTTGTTGTTGCTGGCTTTGCGGCTTAGATTCTTCTATATTTTTTTTTTTGTTTTATTTCAAATTGTCACATTGCTGCAGCTGTTGGTGCTGGCGCTTCTACATATAGTTGGAGCTGCATGCCACAATACCGCACAAAGACATGCATTATGGTGAAGGCGTTGCAGTGTCAAGCATTTCACATTCATTTTCCATTTTCATGCCAACAAAGCATACACATGTGATGTTCGCACATTGGTTTTTGTAACTGTGTGCTTGTATGACGCATTACACCCTGCATGCAGTCGAAGTTACCAGTTCTGAACTGGCCTACTACCAGTTTTCCTAAAAACGAAGTTCTGTTAAAGTTCATTAGGCAACCAATGCATTTGCATATTACTGGTTAACGATTAGTCAGTTGTCGTAGCTATGTAATACCAGTTAAGGCATATTCCTCCATTACTACTCTTGGACTTTCATTGTCTTCGCGGGCTCTTGCTTTCGTTGTGCAATCATGGCTGAATAGCCAAAGAATCTTTTCAAAATAGGGCGTTAAACACTCCAAATCAAAACTACTCTAGTTTCCGCCGTTTTCCCTGACGAGTTTAGCGGGAGCTATTTTGAGTCTCTCCTCCGAAGCGAAATACTTAGGTGTCATACATTTTTCGTCTTATATGGAGATCTCATATTGAAGTTGACGGCGTACAGATGCTAACTTGGATGTACACTATGATAGTGCTACCAATACTGACCTATGGGTCGGTTGCTTCGGTTTCGAGAACTGATTTACTGCTATCTCTGAATTGGAGCGCCACGCGTGGCGTTTCTAATGCCAACTAGTGGCAGCGCACGCTATGCCCAAATAAAGGCATCAAAGTTTTGACGTTTTCTCATTTCCTTCTCGTTTTGTCTTTCACTTGTTTACGAGTCTTTTTACTTTCTTTCTGTCTTCTGCACTAAATTTCAACGCGTAAACCCTGTCAAAAATTTCAATTCCGCGTTATTGTGGGATGCTTCAAAAGCATTAAAGTTACTCAGTAAATTCCTGTGTCGTGGCGGGAGCAGCACCTCATTTAGTCGATCATCGATTTTTTGTTTGGTACCATTGATTTTCTGCTTCATCAGGGACTTGAATTCAACCTCAATGTAGGATATGGTAGTTCGAACACTGGCGAGGTAAACCGGGAAACAAGTTGTTGTAGTTTACGCCAAGCCACATATCGCACACCAAATTTGTACGCCCTCTAATGAAAGCTATTTTAAAAATCGCATGATAAACATTTGTGCAGCAATTCCTCGTACATTGGATTTATTGTACCCTCACCATAAAGGGCATGGGGTATTGCAGGTGAAAGTCCATAAAAAGTCCAGGTGAAAGTTGTTTGCGAGGCACATGGGGACGAATCGACAATTTAGGACGACAAAAATGTTTACTCAATATGTATCTGACAGATTTCAATGAAATTTGGTATTTCATTATCATTGGATTTTCATTATCACTGATTTCGAATAATAAACTAAATTTCCAAAATTCACAATGGCGGATCCAATATGGCGGATGATTTCTTAAAAAATGTCAATATTGTTATGAAGCTTGGTATACAGAGATTTTCGTCGTCACTGATTTCGAAATT